AAGAAGAGATTTCCCGATGACCTCCCACCTAGGGTGTACCCAGTTCTCTGAGCCTCCCCGTCACCCGGACCAGGGTAAGAGGTAGCTCTCTCTGCCCCCTATCTCAGTTAAGTTGCCAACAACATAGTCTTCTGTGCTACCTCTGGGTTCCGTCTCCTTGACCAGTTTATCTCAGTGCCCCATTATGTGGTTTGAACCAGCTGTTAATTTATAGGGTGGGTGTTTGGGGCAAAACCCCAGGGAGAACGTGCATCTGGGCAGCATCACCTGTCAGCTCCTTGGGCGCAGGTGCCTCCTCAGGGAATGTATGCTAGAAGTTCAGACCTCAGAGCTACTCAGTCCGCTCAGCGTAGATTTGGGTTAAAAATACCATACAGATACAGCTCCGAAAGTGCAGTTTCTCCATGGATTATCCTGTCCTATTTAGGGGTTACTGAAAGGGTTCTACTATCATAGAAGGCTTGTGAAGAATTCCGCAGGATCAACATTTGCTCTTTCATACGGGGCATGGACATCTATACTATGCAAAGTGCACTGGGGAGTTCCGTCAGCACTTTATCCACTTTCTTTTTTCTACCTGACGAGTCCTGAGATAGTTCTTTGAGTCTTGTTAATGTTCCTCTCATTCCTTTCCACGAGCAGTGCTGTTACACAAGTAGGGAGCGTCTCCTTTTAAGGCAAGACAGATGTGTCACATGTCATGAGCTCCTGCAGAAAAGAGAAAGCACTGGGAGCAGATGCCAGTCGGAAAGGAAGGCAGATTAATTGCAATTTTCCTGATACACAGTAATAGTAGAGTGAGAATGAGGTTGAGAAGCTAAAAGAACATTTAATATAGAAAACGGACCTCCTCAAAATCCACTGTCATCGGTTTTCTTTCCTAAGTAATTCCCTAAGTCCTGACTTATGTTCTGGCAGTGTCATGCTGGAGAGTGATTTTGCTGTGCAATTGCAACGATTTTGTTGTACGTTTAGTTTCTTTAATTTCCACTGCTAATTTTCCTCAGATATTGCATAACCTGCAAGTCAGTGATAATCCCTTCCAAAGCTAACATTTCAGATGGGTTATAGTCTGATTATCTTATCTACTGGCGGGCTGCGTGGGTAGGTTTGTGTGAAGTACATACAGTTAATGTTCAGATTAATGTCTGTGCTTGTCCTTTCTTCAGGCCCTGAATTACCCCTCTGGATAGTCTTGCTTGGACTCACTTGTTTTTATGATGACCCCAGCAGCTGAATTTTAAGCCTCAGGTGACCAGAGTGCATCACTGCAGGGTCACGCTTTTCTGTTCCTGGAGTCCCATGTACCTTATTTTATGCAGAGCTGGTTGTTATGTTTCACATTTACACTGAGCAGTTTGTTTGTGAAAGTGCTTAAGTTTGTCATTTGCGCTGAGGCTCGTGATTCCACACATACTTTGCTGGTCAGCAGGCTGCCACAGTTAAGCCACGTTATAACACAGCATCTAATCGCAGATATTTCAGTCCTTTAGGGGGGCATCCATAAATGCATATTATTGTGCAGCAATAAATGCTATTGGGCCTGTGGCATTCTTAACCAACTGAAATAATAATAATAATAATAATAATAATAGTTTTCTTAGAAACAAAATATAAGGATTTAATTTTAATTAGAAAAGTAGGTGGTTGGTGCACTGTTTAGCACTGGTGCCCGGGTTCACGTCTCCACCAGGGTTCCATGTGTGTGGAGTTTGCATGTTCTCCCCATGTCATCCAACCCCCCACAGTCCAAAAACGTGCTGAGGATAATTGGAGTTACCAAATTGCCTGTAGGTGTGCTTGTGTGAGTGAATGGTGTGTGAGTGTGCCCTGCCATGGGTTGGTGCCCCTTCCTGGGCTGTTCCCTGCCTTGCTCTGGTAGCCTCTGGGATAGGCTTCAGACCCCCCGTGACTCTGAATAGGATAAGTGGTTACAGAAAATGGATGAACAGAGAAGTAGGTTGCCAGCTAATTGTGACAATTGCAGAGAAATGTGACTGTATCTGGATTGGTCCTTACATTCAGAGACGTACATGACGAGGCTGTACAGAACATAATGGACCAGGTACATCCCTACAGTATGTTCTAAGGTCCTCTGATCAAGGACTCATTTGTGTTCCACGGACTAGACTTAAAACACGGGGGGATCGGGCATTTCAAACTGTTGCCCCAAGGCTGTGGAATAATCTTCCTCCATCCTTGCCTTCTGTTGAAGGTTTTAAAGGGCAGCTTAATACTTACCTTTTCTCAGGCTTTTGGGAAAATCCTGAAATCGTGTTCTGCAGTGTATTGTCGTCTCTTCTTACATGGGTATTTTTACATTTTCCTTTGTTTTTTATGCTTTTCTGCTTTTTCATTTTGTACAGCGCTTTGTGACTGTTTTGTCTGTAAAAGGCACTTAATAAATAAATTTTACTTACTTATCTGAATTGCCTTTATTCGTAAAAAAAACTTTCATAAGCAGACAGACCGTTAGCACATCCGATGGGAGGATAAGACCAGAAAAGCACGGGTGGTTTTTAGTTTCAACTTGGAGAAAGATTTTCTTTCTCAAAGATCTGAAAGGTAGCCAGATGTCATCCCTAGATGGCCTTGCCAGGCAAGAGAGAAATGACGGCCATCCAGGCTCAAGATTCCATACATATCTTGTTTCGTGGTAGAGCAAATGACAGAAAGGAACTGTTCGTTTTTAAATCAGATTTCGGTGTAAATTAACATGAAAGTCAGCCTGACTGAATAGCTAGCATGATGTGTCGTATACAGTATGTACTGTAGTACAAACGATAATGCACCTAAACACATAAGCAATCAGCCCTTACGGAGAGTAACTAGTTAGGCCACCAGTGCATTGACCTTCTGTAGTGACTGACAGTTCCCACCTAGAGCCATGAAGGAAACTGTTGTAACTCATTGTGAGGCTCCACTGCTCATTTTCAGTTTCATTTTAAACATCTTTATGAGTGGTAGATCTGACCTTTGACTTCATTTTCTCATTCTTCGATTCTTATTTAGACTTGCTGCTCTTTCAGTATGCCTGTTTTCACAAAGAAAAAGGCTCTTATTGGCCAAGAATGTTCCAGGCCTCCCAAGGATCATACCAGTGGGTTCTGGCTGGAATTGATTCACACATTCTTATCCTCCTTAGTGAGCAGTGATTTCCACCTTGCCATGTTTTGGTCTTTCTAGACCTTAGTTGAGAGAGGCATGGATTTTTTTCAATAACCAATAGACGTTTGTCTTACTCTTGTGATGATGTACATATACCTGAAGCCAGACCTGGACTGAAATTAAAATTCCCCCACAATGAAGTGTAACTTTATTCGAGCAATACATTTTGTGGACTGGAGGCCCACCTTGGAATATGCCTGGAATGCCAGATGACCAGTACAGCTCTGCCTCGGCTCACTCACGGTTGGTCAAGCATTAGTTATCGTAGGCTACAGTCTAGGGCTTCTGCAAAATCAGGGGCAGTGCCTGGCAAAACAGGGACCCCACCTTAGGCAAATTTTACTATTAGCAATCCCAAATGGTTAGCTTTGCCATCAGCACCCTGCATGCCAATTATTGATGTTGGTCTTTTCTTTCCAAAAATATCTCAAGAGGCCCTGACCACGTCAAGCTAGGGCCCCAGAGAGTCAATCCACCCCAGGGATCAGTACCGTGTGTAGTATCACTCACCACAGGGGCATCTACATCCTTATTTCCATGCCTTGCATTAGCTTCCAGTGAGCTCTAGCACCAGGTTATAAATTCTATATATCACAACATAATGCACTTGAATTAGCCTGAGACTGAATGTTCCATGGGGGGGAGGCTTGGTTGCTTACTTTCAGGGACATTATGCCACAATTATATTTAAATCAAATTAACTCATTTAGCAGACACTTTTGTCTGAGGCAGCGAGGGGGGGGGGAGGGGGGGCACATCCCTGACCTACAGTCTCCACTCTGCATCTGTGGATTTTGAAGGTTCTCCCCACATTTCCTCTAAGTTCTCTGGTTTCCTCCTGCAGTCCAAAGACATTCAGTCAGGCTACCTGGTGTCTCGGAATCGCCTATTGTGTGTGGACCCTGCGGTGGACTGCCATCCTGTTGGGGGTGTCCCCCTGCCTCATGCTCTGTGCTGCTGGGATAGGCTCCAGCCCCCCCCCATGACCCTGACCGGGATGAGCGGGTGGAAAATCGATGGATGAATGAAAGCGGAAAAATCTACACGAATCTAAAGTGACAGCTGGGTTATAAATGACTTTACACAAGGTCTGCCATACGGCCGCCTAATAAAACAGAGATTGAAGGCTTTGTGAACATTTACTGTAATACTAACTGGCTCTGTGACCACAGAGTGTGGAGTCTGACTGAGAAGAGTGTGCAGTTTTGTAATAGTTTGAAGGGATTTGGTCACGAGGCTGGAGGCTTCAGCCCTCTGCTTGCTCATTGCAGACCCAGAGCAGGTTTTGCAACCCCAAAGTGCGACCATGGCCTCAGGTCTCTCAGGTCAAGCCAGTGAGGACAGGGGTCAATGGTGGGATGGGAGGAGAGGGGAGAGAAACCAGTGGTAGAAGCTGGGGCCCCAGGGAATGGGGTATGAAGGCAACAGAGGAAGGTTCCAGCAGGTTTCGGACATCTGCGAATTTGCATGCACCAGTCCTTCTTCCTGTAGCTTACTGTTGTGTCCGGCAATATTGTGCATTTGCAATTTCTTCTTCTTTCTTGTAACACATAAGGACGGCAACTTGTTTGATGATGATGTATGGGAGAAAGTTTTCCAGTCACATTTACCGCATTACGCGTTTTTAGGCTAATGACCGTCCATTCTGAAACTCCGACACACCGCAAACCACACGGAGGTCCTCAATGGAAGATCGCAGGTGAGCTACAGGCACTGATGACAGCAGGCGCCATGGCCGGTTCCCCCGGTCAAAGGTCAAGGCCACGTGGAGCAGAGATGCCCGGTGCTCACACACTCATTCATTCACCGCTGAGAACAGACCGGCTCTGAAGGACGAATTCCAATTTTCCTTTAATAAAAAACATAATTTCAAAATAAATATGTTTTGCTATCACTAAAAAACAAAGCCTGCTGTTAATAAACTTACCAATTTACAGCACCAATAAATATATAATAATGTGGAAAAAAAAACCCTTAAAACTTAAATGATCACTGACACAGGATGTTCGTGGCTTTAGTAGAGGCAGAATGTGTTACAGAGGGGGAGACGCAGTGTTAGTTAACGCAGCAGAGACTCAGACACAGGCGTGTAGTATCAGGAGGCAGGAGCACAGAACCGCAGTCCGACCCTCCGGCTAACTTCCTGTTTGAAGAGGAAGCTGCCGTCCTTTGATGCTTTTCACTTCCAGGAATGTATTCATGGGGTTTTATCTTTTCGTTTTTTTGTTTTTTTTTTTAACAAAAATCCATTCGCAGTTCTCACCAGATAGCCAAGCAGACAGGTAAAACATTTACCACAGAGAAGGCTGTAACACTACATATAAATAAATCCAATTAAATAAAGACCAAATACTGAAAAAAAATTCTAACATTATAAATTAACTGTAGTGTACTCCATAAGGGATATTAAGTGTGTATATAGAACGGTATCCTGTAGCTCTCATAAAGGTTAGATTTTTGATCTTTGGGAAATAAACAGACCATAAAAGCATTTCCATAAGCAAACGAAAACCGAATACTAATGCAGTGAACTTACAAACTATGGGCCTCTTCATGGAATACGGTTCTGTCTTTCTCAGTATATACCTACAGTTAATATCCCTTTAAAAATATTTTACACACCAAGTACTATGTGTTAGTCAGTAATCATCTAGGTGGATAAATGCCACCACTACAGTGGAGTTTCTCTGGGTAGCAGGATGTGATGTCACAACAAACGCAGTTCAGTCTTCCAACTTATGCCCTTCTGCTGAATCTCCCCATCATCCTTTGGAAATGACTTGGATGGGGTCATCCGCCCGCTCAGTTTCCCATTGAGCTCTGTTCATTGCGCAGTAAATCAGTGTCTTTGTTTCTGTCCGGCCCACAACATCCACAGCAGACCCGCATCCTTACATAAGATGAATCCTACCATGCTCCATGCACCAGACGGTGTCCTCGTTTGTTTTCTATAAAGGTTACTTTCTATTTTAGCAGCAAAACATTCAAAGATGTTCTTCCTTTTTCATATATATATATATATATATATATATATATATATATATATATATGTCTTTTTTTATCTCAGTTCAGGAATGCATCTTTAGAGAAAATAATCAAGGTTCAAAGTGCTGTGCCAAGACGATTCCTTCATTTCAGTGTCCATTTGAGTGGCTCTTATCTCCTGGGTTTGTCGCACCTGCAAAAGAGGAAGTGAGACGCAAAAGGTGAGGGACAACTTGGCCTGTGTCATGTGAGGCCAAACTCATCCAATTGCTGACCTCCTCAGTCTACATGTGACCGGTGACAATCACAGCAAGCACTGTCAGTACTGTGATCAACGATCACCATGTCATTCAACAGTTTACACAAGACACACTGATGGGGATTACAGGAAATAAAACAAGCCACCAAACTGAAATTTAAATCATCATTAGAGCTCGGATTCACCAGCTTGGGAGTGAAATTATGGTTCTAGGTTTACCTTAAATAGGACAATAAGGCTGATGCATTTCCTAATGTGGGACCGATAGACACTCACTCAGAAATACACTTGTTCACCAATTCATAAACTGATGAACACATACTAATGTGCACATCTGTTTATCTGCATGGCTTGCCAGTTAGTGAGGATATGGGAGAGCGGTCAGATTGCTAACTTCAGGCCGAGTATCGTGCAAAAAAGCCTTGCACTGAGGACGCCTGATACTGATTCAGGCCGCGATGCAAGACATGCAGAAACCGCATAGTTATATTCAGCAGTAATGCATGTAATCATGCTACATTCCTGCCTATGTATGGGTCCAGATGCTTCTCACCCTGCAAACCCAGGAGGGTTAGTCCTGACATCAAGAAACACACAAACGTGAAGGTGTTAGGAGGAGTGCGCACACACACCGTGCACATCCACACGTACCCTGCATGCATGAACATATACAGGCAGACAATCACACCGCGACTGAGGCAGGACAGGCATGGCCGGTGAGAAGCATGCATTTCTCTGATTGGCCAGGGGGACACGTTGTTTATCGAAATGTTTCATAAACAAACCTGCAAGTTCGTTCGTTTAACTCAAGCTGCTTGTACTTGCAGTCTAGCTCAGAGTATCTGCAGGAGCATTGACAGGTGATGGGGTCCTGCACAAACAAGCGCTTTCTTCTCTCTGAGCAAGGCTCACATTGGCTGCAAAAAGGCAAGAAGGGAGAAAGGGGGAGGGTCTAAGCTCTAGGGTCCAGTGAGAGGAGCAGGGACGGGATCACACAGCCACTCACACGTCATCGGCTCGGCTCGGCAGCACACGCCGACATTCCATCGCACGCATCTCTGTGTATCCGTGTGATTGTGTGTCAGTGTGTGTGGATCAGCAGTATTTGACAGTGATGGTGACAGTGAGGGGCTTCCTGGTGACATCTGCAGTCATGTGGGCCACAGGGTAACAGTAGGTTTCACAGGCAAAATGCAGCAACGATGCCTCTGGTGACATGACAGGAAGCTCCACAGGTAGTGGATTCCCATAATTTTGTATCCACTCTTATAGAGCAAGATGTGGATCATGGTCCATATGACTGAATACAACTCAAAAATGCTGTTGCTTAAAGATGCAGTATCTCTCATTGCACTGTATAGTTCCTCGCAGGGCTGAATATCAGTGACACAGCTACTGTATTTATTTAGCAGAAACTTTTCAGCAAAGCGACGGGAAATTGAGAAAGCAGAATCAGACCCTCCCTGGAGCAGCTGGAGGTTAAGGGCCTTGCTCAAGGGCCCAATGGCGAAATCACTCAGCCGTTTCTGGGACTTGAACCAGCGACCCATGGGTTCAGCTGATTCAGCACAGTTTCTTACTGCAGGATTTCCAGGGAATGGTTCAGAACAACCACACAACCTTTCCTTTAAGGTTTGTCTGTCGCTATCCTGACCTATATAGGAAATTAAATCAGAAAATTCATATAAACCCACAAAAGGTACAAGCACATGACCATGCAGAAACCAAACCCGAATCCTAGTTACATTCTGCAATGCAAAGGCGGATGCCAGGATGTGTGGCGCTCAGAATGGGCAGCGCGCGGGACGAGGACGAGCAGGGCAGCGGGAGCGATTAGTACGGCTCTGGGACACCATGCCAGGGGGCGCCGTCACCTGGACATCGCTTCGAAAGAGCGCAGGTTCTGCCCGAGCCCGTTAAAGTTGTGCCAGCACCAGGGGAACACAGACTCATGCCAACCGCAGGGCAGATCAGGGGAAGCGAGCGGCTTCCTCCCAGATTAACTTAACTTAACAAACAGCAGAGTGACTCTCAGCACGCGGCTGACGTACGGTTCTCTGTCTCTGTCTCTGTCTCGCTTTAGGCCTTTGCCCTTCCTGGGTTTTCTGGAAAAAAAATAAAAATAAGCAAAACAATGCAGATACCACTGAATGGGACACACAGTGATACAGGTGGGAAACAAAGGCCCAGTGAGATTCAGAAGACTGCAGATATGGGGGCCAGCAGGTCGAAAGTCAGCCAAGCAGGGGGGGGGGGGTGTCTGATGCAACCGGGGAAGATGCAGGTGGACACATGCAAACTGGACCAATGAGATGCAGACCTTACGCAGATGACAACACACAAGACTAAGGTCCTCTATGGCAGGATTATATACAGGGGTTAAACCTCAGGGGCCACTGGCTGCAGCTGAATGCTGGTTGGCTACCACAGGGCCCCCTCCTCTATCACTCACCGATTCATACAAACGCTCCTGTCCAAGCTAGGTACATGCAGTCAATTTACCCTTTTTAAAGATCAATAAGGATATATAAAGTTCCTTTTTTAAGAGGGAAGTGAAGGTGATCCTGAAACCTCCTCTGAACATTAACATTAAGTCTACGATCTGGACTCTGACTTCATCCATCCGTGTCTGGTCAGCGAGGCCCTGGTGGACCGGCACTGATCACTACTTGGTGAATTTCTCTATTCTCTATTCAACTATAAAACCCAGCCACGCTCCAGCAAACGACCCGTTTCGACCTTCTCTCGGGCGAACCTCTATTTACAGCCCACAATAGTTTGCTCCGTAACACCTGTTACTCAAATTAGCATCTGAAAGTAGCAGGAGCCAGAAGGTCAAGGAGCAACGGAGTGGAAAAACTGCGAGCCAGACGAAGGGAGACCTACACTGCAGTGGCCCGTGGACCGAGGAACAGCGGCATAGAGGAGCTTCCTCCGAAAGGAACCACGATCTACAATACAGAGCATCCTCTGACCCCGGGGCCTATGCCTGTTTACACAGTGCATGCTGGGATTGTTTCCCCAGATGCAACAAAAGATACTGCACCTTCCCCAGAGACCATGTTGTGGCATGTGGCTGCCCTTCTGTTTAGCTGGATCTTCTGAGCATTCACCTTTTTATGAGTATGGATGATATGAGCAGGAGTACAGAAGTGAATGAATGTACACGCTAAACCTATGTCTGCTTTTCTGGCTGCATGAGGTTTGGCTTGGCCATTCTGTGGAATTACTGGGAGTCACAAGCAAACCCACTCCCCCAACTGCGAACGCCTTTACTTACTGTTCTCTCTGTTCCATAACTTCTTTCTTTGGTCTGAAAATTTTAGAACAGCAGACATCTTTATTAGTACAGCTCTGGAAAAGACCGCTCTGTCTGTACATCCTTTTTCTTGATTTGGAAAACATTGCCAACAATATTCTTACCTGCATTTACATGATTTGTGTTCTGTGAAACTCAACAGAAAATTATTCTCTTGTCTTAGGGGTTTGAGTCGTTTAACCTGTTAAAAAAAGCAGAGTGTGAGAGGGGTGTTGTCCTCCCAAAAGCAGCTACTGGCAGCCTCTGGGCCTAATGATTTCAGCATATGCACTGAACTACATTTAGACCCAACTTCCTTAGTGTGCAACCAACTCGCTGAAAACCGTCTTTACCAATGAGGATGACTGGTTCTAAAATAACGGTGGAAAAGTGGCTGGAACAAGACGGGTGTGGACCACGTTTGAGGGCCGGATGGAGAAGAAGACAGGGCTGACCTGCAGAGTGACGTTATACGTCTCTGTAGGGACACATTCCAGGGCCTCGTTGTTGCAGCAGCCTCCACAACGCGAGAGAACCACGCAGGATGGGATGTAGATGTGCTCGATCTCATCGGGGTATTCCTGCAGAATGTCCACCAGGATCTCTCTCGACTGGCAATAGCTTTTATTGTACACGTCCATGAAAGGAATCACTGCAAGGAAGACATGGAGGAGAACTTATAACCAACAACACCTCCAGCTGAAGGCATCAGCAGTGCTGTCAGAAGAAAGCAGTGACCATCACCGACGTTAACAAAGGATTCCTGGCTTGCTGTTTGCCCGAAAAACAAAATCTCTTTTCTGAACAAACGAGAGAACATGAACTTCAGTGGGGGTCGTTTAAAGTCTCCACAGGAACAGGTAGGCCATTCCAGCACTTGGAGTTTGGATCAGACGTAAATGCTTCTGTAAATGCTTCAAGACGGATTATTCGGTCACGCCAGGTGCTGGAAAAGCAACCCTAGTC